GAAATACAGTTCAAATGAACCAAACGCATCGATACTCATTTGTGTATGATGTGAAATTGTTGGCATCGTTGAACAACAAATAATGATAGACTTCCTTCAGAAGCAGGCGAAGAGATGAAACTTACATTGATATGAAGTTGCAACAAGTTTTCAGTAAGATAATATGAAAATTAATAATTTTCAAAATAGAGTGTGGGTGAAGATATTTCCATCATAGACACCCATACCCCACACCCGACGCCACACTCACCCACATTCTTGTTTTTCGCCCATCGTTTTGATACCGTTCATCGAAGGATATGCTATTTATGATAAATTCACAACGAGGGACATGTTTTATGTATGTGTCAAGCGCTTTGTTTTATCACAACTTGAGGGAGGAGTATACGGTGACGCATCAATGGTGTAGATTCTTTACAAAAAAAGAATCAAGAGACGAATATTTTGATTTTTCCTCCAACATCGGTTAGATGATCTTCGATTTTATCAGTCAACTGATTTTTAGTCTTGTATTTAACATATCAAATAATATGTTCACAAGTTGCCATACAGTTAGTTGACATAGTAAATTGACGTCAACGTGACAAGACCGAGTCATTCATTGACGGCTATTTTAATTACTTTTTTTTCTCTTTCTTCTTCTTTCAATTGTGCTACCTGTAGATTTCAGAAAAAAATCAGGACACTGAAGTTTCAATCCACAATATAATCGTATTCATATAAGAATTCGTAAAGGTTTCAGCCTGAAATAAGAAAATTGAAATTCAGTCGTTACTTCGCTTGTTTATGACATTCATAGCTGTTTTCGAGTTTTTGATTTGTTTATGAATTCGATTTATTCCACATTGATTGCTTCTTGATCAAAATCAATCTTTCACTGCGCTCTTCAATTAAAAAATGAATGTACAGCGTAGTAGCTGGTCTTACGAAGAAACACCAACATCCATGAAAAACCAACACCAACGCCAACATAATAATGAAGTCAAGCGGGTCACTAAAAGTAAAAGATTATGGACTTGTATCCTTTAGCTAATTATGGACATAATATATTTTAGTCAGTGGTTTCCAGGCAATACGCTTTTCTCGTTTTGGTATAATAATTGGAATTTTAGTAGGAGGCGTTGCATTTGCTACAATCCTTACTATGTACGTACAAGAACAATCCGAACAAGGTATTGACAGAACCTGAGTCTTCTACCGGCAAAAACATGTTTATTTTTTGCAATTAGCTTCCTTTCCTCTATCGATAATCATAATATCTCCGTTTACATATTCATCCATAAGTTATAAAACAAACTACAAATGTACATGTGGATTCAGTTTTACTTATATGTTGGTTTAGATTTGAGTGTGGAGTTTAGGTTTGCAGTAGAGGATGTCAGTATGTGGTGTCGGTGCAGATGAGTGTAGCTGTGAGTGTGAGGCTGAAAAGAGGAGTCACACCCAACCTGTTTCAGATTTGGATGTAAGGCGTAGGTTTGCTATGTGAAGTGTTAGGGTGTGATTTTGTTGTGGATACATATGATTGTGGGTGTGGGTGTGGGGTGAGTGTGGGTGTGGGTGGGTGTGAGGTGTGGATGTGGGTGTGAGGGTGGGTGTGGGTGTGGG